ATTAAACATAGCTTATTTTCCTAGAAATCCCTGTTTTTCCCCTTAAATATCGCTTATTTTCACAGAAATCCCTGTTTTTCACCTGAAATATGGCTTATTTTCATAGAAATCCCTGTTTTTCCCCTTAAATATCGCTTATTTTCATAGAAATCCCTGTTTTTAACCTGAAATATCGCTTATTTTCATAGAAATCTCTGTTTTTCCCTTGAAATATCGCTTACTTTCATAGAAATCCCTGTTTTTCCCCTGAAATATCGCTTATTTTCATAGAAATCCCTGTTTTTAACCTGAAATATCGCTTATTTTCACAGAAATCCCTGTTTTTCATCTTAAATATCGCTTATTTTCCTAGAAATCCCTGTTTTTAACCTGAAATATCACTTATTTTCATAGAAATCCCTGTTTTTCACCTGAAATATCGCTTATTTTCATAGAAATCCCTGTTTTTCACCTGAAATATCGCTTATTTTCACAGAAATCCCTGTTTTTCATATTAAATATCGCTTATTTTCATAGAAATCCTTGCTTTTCACCTGAAATATCGCTTATTTTCATAGAAATCCCTGTTTTTAACCACTAAATATCGCTTATTTTATTAGAAATCCCTGTATTTCACCTGAAATATCGCTTATTTTCACAGAAATCCCTGTTTTTCCCCTGAAATATAGCTTATTTTCATAGAAATCCCTGTTTTTCCCCTTAAATATCGCTTATTTTCATAGAAATCCCTGTTTTTCACCTGAAATATCCCTTGTTTTCATAGAAATCCCTGTTTTTAACCCTTAAATATCGCTTATTTTCATAGAAATCCCTGTTTTTTCCCCATAAATATCACTTATTTTCATAGAAATCCCTGTTTTTCACCTGAAATCTCGCTTATTTTCACAGAAATCCCTGTTTATTCCCTTAAATATCGCTTATTTTCATAGAAATCCCTGTTTTTCACCTTAAATATCGCTTATTTTCATAGAAATCCCTGTTTTTAACCTGAAATATCGCTTATTTCCATAGAAATCCCTGTTTTTCACCTGAAATATCGCTTATTTTCATAGAAATCCCTGTTTTTCACCTTAAATATCGCCTATTTTCATAGAAATCCCACTTTTTCCAATTAAACATCGCTTATTTTCCTAGAAATCCCTGTTTTTCCCCTTAAATATCGCTTATTTTCACAGAAATCCCTGTTTTTCCCCTGAAATATCGCTTATTTTCCTAGAAATCCCTGTTTCTCCCCTTAAATATCGCTTATTTTCACAGAAATCCCTGTTTTTCACCTGAAATATCGCTTATTTTCATAGAAATCTCTGTTTTTCCCTTAAAATATCGCTTACTTTCATAGAAATCCCTGTTTTTAACCTGAAATATTGCTTATTTTCCTAGAAATCCCTGTTTTTAACCTGAAATATCGCTTATTTTCACAGAAATCCCTGTTTTTCATCTTAAATATCGCTTGTTTTCCTAGAAATCCCTGTTTTTAACCTGAAATATCACTTATTTTCATAGAAATCCCTGTTTTTCACCTGAAATATCGCTTATTTTCATAGAAATCCCTGTTTTTAATCCTCAGATATCGCTTATTTTCACAGAAATCCCTGTTTTTCATATTAAATATCGCTTATTTTCATAGAAATACTTGCTTTTCACCTGAAATATCGCTTATTTTCATAGAAATCCCTGTTTTTAATCCTCAGATATCGCTTATTTTCATACAAATCCCTGTTTTTAACCTGAAATATCGCTTATTTTCATAGAAATCCCTGTTTTTAACCATAAATATCGCTTATTTTAATAGAAATCCCTGTATTTCACCTGAAATATCGCTTATTTTCATAGAAATCCCTGTTTTTCCCCTGAAATATAGCTTATTTTCATAGAAATCCCTGTTTTTCCCTTGAAATATCGCTTATTTTCATAAAAATCCCTGTTTTTATCCTTTAATATCCCTTGTTTTCATAGAAATCCCTGTTTTTAACCCTTAAATATCGCTTATTTTCATAGAAATCCCTGTTTTTTCCCCATAAATATCACTTATTTTCATAGAAATCCCTGTTTTTCCCCTGAAATATCGCTTATTTTCATAGAAATCCCTGTTTTTCACCTGAAATATCACTTATTTTCATCGAAATCCCTGTTTTTCCCCTTAAATATCGCTTATTTTCATAGAAATCCCTGTTTTTCCCCTTATATATCGCTTATTTTCATAGGAATCCCTGTTTTCCCCCTAAAATATCGCTTATTTTCACAGAAATCCCTGTTTTTCACCTGAAATATCGCTTATTTTCATTGAAATCCCTGTTTTTCCCTTTAAATATCGCTTATTTTCATAGAAATCCCTGTTTTTCCCCTGAAATATCGCTTATTTTCATAGAAATCCCTGTTTTTCCCCTGAAATATTGCTTATTTTCATCGAAATCCCTGTTTTCCACCTTAAATATCGTTTATTTTCATAAAAATCCCTGGTATTAACCCTTAAATATCCCTTGTTTTCATAGAAATCCCTGTTTTTCCCCTGAAATATCGCTTATTTTCATAGAAATCCCTGTTTTTAAACTGAAATACCGCTTATTTTCATAGAAATCCCTGTTTTTCACCTGAAATATCGCTTATTTTCATAGAAATCCCTGTTTTTCCCCTGAAATATCGCTTATTTTCACAGAAATCCCTGTTTTTCACCTGAAATATCGCTTATTTTCATAGAAATCCCTGTTTTTCCCCTTAAATATCGCTTATTTTCACAGAAATCCCTGTTTTTCCCCTGAAATATCGCTTATTTTCATAGAAATCTCTGTTTTTCCCTTGAAATATCGCTTACTTTCATAGAAATCCCTGTTTTTAACCTGAAATATTGCTTATTTTCCTAGAAATCCCTGTTTTTAACCTGAAATATCGCTTATTTTCACAGAAATCCCTGTTTTTCATCTTAAATATCGCTTGTTTTCCTAGAAATCCCTGTTTTTAACCTGAAATATCACTTATTTTCATAGAAATCCCTGTTTTTCACCTGAAATATCGCTTATTTTCATAGAAATCCCTGTTTTTCACCTGAAATATCGCTTATTTTCACAGAAATCCCTGTTTTTCATATTAAATATCGCTTATTTTCATAGAAATCCTTGCTTTTCCCCTTAGATATCGCTTATTTTCATAGAAATCCCTGTTTTTAATCCTCAGATATCGCTTATTTTCATACAAATCCCTGTTTTTAACCTGAAATATCGCTTATTTTCATAGAAATCCCTGTTTTTAACCACTAAATATCGCTTATTTTAATAGAAATCCCTGTATTTCACCTGAAATATCGCTTATTTTCACAGAAATCCCTGTTTTTCATCTTAAATATTGCTTGTTTTCCTAGAAATCCCTGTTTTTAACCTGAAATATAGCTTATTTTCATAGAAATCCCTGTTTTTCCCCTGAAATATCGCTTATTTTCATAAAAATCCCTGTTTTTATCCTTAAATATCCCTTGTTTTCATAGAAATCCCTGTTTTTAACCCTTAAATATCGCTTATTTTCATAGAAATCCCTGTTTTTTCCCCATAAATATCACTTATTTTCATAGAAATCCCTGTTTTTCCCCTGAAATATCGCTTATTTTCATAGAAATCCCTGTTTTTCACCTGAAATATCACTTATTTTCATCGAAATCCCTGTTTTTCCCCTTAAATATCGCTTATTTTCATAGAAATCCCTGTTTTTCCCCTTATATATCGCTTATTTTCATAGGAATCCCTGTTTTCCCCCTAAAATATCGCTTATTTTCACAGAAATCCCTGTTTTTCACCTGAAATATCGCTTATTTTCATTGAAATCCCTGTTTTTAACCCTTAAATATCGCTTATTTTCATAGAAATCCCTGTTGTTCCCCTGAAATATCGCTTATTTTCATAGAAATCCCTGTTTTTCCCCTGAAATATTGCTTATTTTCATAGAAATCCCTGTTTTTCCCCTGAAATATGGCTTATTTTCATAGAAATCCCTGTTTTTCCCCTTAAATATCGCTTATTTTCATAGAAATCCCTGTTTTTCACCTGAAATATCGCTTATTTTCATAGAAATCCCTGTTTTTCCCCTTAAAATATCACTTATTTTCATAGAATTCCCTGTTTTTCCCCTTAAATATCGCTTATTTTCCTAGAAATCCCTGTTTTTCCCCGGAAATATCGCTTATTTTCACAGAAATCCCTGTTTTTCCCCTGAAATATCGCTTATTTTCATAGAAATCCCTGTTTTTAACCAGAAATATCGCTTATTTTCATAGAAATCCCTGTTTTTCCCCTGAAATATCGCTTATTTTCATAGAAATCCCTGTTTTTCACCTGAAATATCACTTACTTTTGTAGAAATCCCTTTTTTTCCCCTTAAATATCGCTTATTTTCCTAGAAATCCCTGTTTTTCCCCTGAAATATCGCTTATTTTCATAGAAATCCCTGTTTTTCCCCTGAAATATCGCCTATTTTCATAGAAATCCCTGTTTTTCCCCTGAAATATCGCTCATTTTCACAGAAATCCCTGTTTATTCCCTTAAATATCGCTTATTTTCCTAGAAATCCCTGTTTTTAACCTGAAATATCACTTATTTTAATACAAATCCCTGTTTTTCCCCATAAATATAGCTTACTTTCATAGAAATCCCTGTTTTTCCCCTGAAATATCGCTTATTTTCATAGAAATCCCTGTTTTTCCCCTGAAATATCGCTTATTTTCATAGAAATCCCTGTTTTTCCCCTGAAATATCGCTTATTTTCATCGAAATCCCTGTTTTTCCCCTAAAATATCGCTTATTTTTACAGAAATCCCTGTTTTTCACCTGAAATATCGCTTATTTTCATAGAAATCCCTGTTGTTCACCTGAAATCTCGCTTATTTTCACAGAAATCCCTGTTTATTCCCTTAAATATCGCTTATTTTCATAGAAATCCCTGTTTTTAACCTGAAATATCGCTTATTTTCATAGAAATCCCTGTTTTTCACCTTAAATATCGCTTATTTTCCTAGAAATCCCTGTTTTTAACCTGAAATATCGCTTATTTCCATAGAAATCCCTGTTTTTCACCTGAAATATCGCTTATTTTCATAGAAATCCCTGTTTTTCACCTGAAATATCGCTTATTTTCATAGAAATCCCTGTTTTAAACCTTATATATCGCTTATTTTCATAGAAATCCCTGTTTTTAACCTGAAATATCGCTTATTTTCATAGAAATCCCTGTTTTTCCCTTGAAGTATCGCTTACTTTCCTAGAAATCCCTGTTTTTCCCCGGAAATATCGCTTATTTTCACAGAAATTTCTGTTTATCCCCTTAAATATCGCTTATTTTCATAGAAATCCCTGTTTTTCACCTGAAATATCACTTATTTTCATAGAAATCCCTGTTTTTCCCCTTAAATATCGCTTATTTTCATAGAAATCCCTGTTTTTAACCACTAAATATCGCTTATTTTCATAGAAATCCCTGATTTTCCCCATAATTATCACTTATTTTCACAAAAATCCCTGTTTTTCCCCTGAAATATCGCTTATTTTCATAGAAATCCCTGTTTTTCCCCTGAAATATCGCTTATTTTCATAGAAATCCCTGTTTTTCCCCTTAAATATCGCTTATTTTCATAGAAATCCCTGTTTTTAACCGCTAAATATCGCTTATTTTTCATCGAAATCCCTGTTTTTCCCGTTAAATATCGCTTATTTTCATAGAAATTCCTGTTTTTCACCTGAAATATCGCTTATTTTCATAGAAATCCCTGTTTTTAACCTGAAATATCGCTTATTTTCATAGAAATCCCTGTTATTAACCACTAAATATCGCTTATTTTCCTAGAAATCCCTGTTTTTCCCCTTAAATATCGCTTATTTTCATAGAAATCCCTGTTTTTCCCCTTAAATATCGCTTATTTTCCTAGAAATCCCTGTTTTTCCCCTTATATATCGCTTATTTTCATAGAAATCCCTGTTTTTCCCCGGAAATATCGCTTAATTTCACAGAAATCCCTGTTTTTAACCTGAAATATCGCTTATTTTCATAGAAATCCCTGTTTTTCAACTGAAATATCGCTTATTTTCATAGAAATCCCTGTTTTTCCCCGAAAATATCGCTTATTTTCATAGAAATCCCTGTTTTTAACCACTAAATATCGCTTATTTTCATAGAAATCCCCGTTTTTAACCCTTAAATATCGCTTATTTTCATAGAAATCCCTGTTTTTCCCCTGAAATATCGCTTATTTTCCTAGAAATCCCTGTTTTTAAATTGAAATATCGTTTATTTTCATAGAAATCCCTGTTTTTCCCCTGAAATATCACTTATTTTCATAGAAATCCCTGTTTTTAACCACTAAATATCGCTTATTTTCATAGAAATCCCGGTTTTTCACCTGAAATATCGCTTATTTTCCTAGAAATCCCGGTTTTTCCCCTGAAATATCACTTATTTTCATAGAAATCCCTGTTTCTAACCTGAAATATCGCTTATTTTCATAGAAATCCCTGTTTTTAACCTGAAATATTGCTTGTTTTCATTGAAATCCATGTTTTTAACCTGAAATATAGCTTATTTTCATAGAAATCCCTGTTTTTCCCATTAAATATCGCTTATTTTCATAGAAATCCCTGTTTTTCCCCTAAAATATCGCTTATTTTCATAAAAATCCCTGTTTTTCCCCTGAAATATCGCTTATTTTCATAGAAATCCCTGTTTTTCCCCTAAAATATCGCTTATTTTCAAAGAAATCCCTGTTTTTCCCCTGAAATATCACTTATTTTCATAGAAATCCCTGTTTTTAACCTGAAATATCGCTTATTTTCATAGAAATCCCTGCTTTTCCCCGAAAATATTGCTTACTTTTCATAGAAATCCCTGTTTTTAACCACTAAATATCGATTATTTTCATAGAAATCCCTGTTTTTCCCCTGAAATATCGCTTATTTTTCGTAGAAATCCCTGTTTTTCCCCTGAAATATCGCTTATTTTCATAGAAATCCCTGTTTTTAACCCTTAAATATCGCTTATTTTCATAGAGATCCTTGTTTTTCCCCTTAAATGTCACATATTTTCATCGAATTCCCTGTTTTTCCCCTGAAATATCGCTTATTTTCATAGAAATCCCTGTTTTTAACCCTTAAATTTCGCTTATTTTCATAGAAATCCCTGTTTTTCCCCTTAAATATCGCTTATTTTCATAGAAATCCCTGTTTTTCCCCTGAAATATCGCTTATTTTCATAGAAGTCCCTGTTTTTCACCATAAATATCGCTTATTTTCATAGAAATCCCTGTTTTTCCCCTGAAATATCGCTTATTTTCATAGAAATCCCTGTTTTTCCCCATAAATATCGCTGATTTTCATAGAAATCCCTGTTTTTAACCACTAAATATCGCTTATTTTCATTGAAATCCCACTTTTTCCCCTTAAATATCGCTTATTTTCATCGAAATCCCTGTTTCTTTTTTCAGTCTGGGTTTTTTCCCCTTTAATATGGCTTTTTCTACCTGAATTCCCCATTTCTCCCCTTATTTATGGGGTTTTTCCCCTTCAGTCTGCGTTTTTCTGCTCAAAATCCCTGATTTTTCCCTTCAATCTGGGGTTTTCTCAAAGAAATCCCTGTTTTTCCCCTTAAATCTGAGCTGTTCTGCTCGAAATCCCTGTTTTTTGTACTAATTCTGGGGTTTTTCCCCTTCAATCTGAGGATTTCTCATACAAATCCCTGTTTTTCCCATTCAATGACCACAGTATCTCCCAAAATGGCCCAAAATCCTAATAAACAGCCCCAAAATCTCAAGAAACTGCGCTGAAATCCCCCAAAATTGACACAAAATATCAATAAATGGCCCCAAAACCCAATAAACGGCAAAGACATGCTGAGATAGAGCCACAAAATCCCAATAAATGGCCCAAAATCACCAAAAGGGACCCAAAATCCCAAAAAATGGCCCCAAAATCTCAAGAAACAGCACCAAAATCCCCAAAAAATGCCCCAAAATATCAATAAATGGCCCAAAATCCCAATAAACAACAACAAAATCCCAAGAAATGGCCCCAAAATCCCAAAAAACTACTCCAAAATCTCCAAAAATAATCCCAAAATCCCAATCAAACTCCCCAAAATCTCAAAAAATGAACCCAAACTCCCAAAAAAGAACAACTAAATCTCCAAAAATGAAACCAAAAACCAAATAGATGACCCCAAAATCACACAAAATGACTCCAAAAGATAAATAAAAAGCAGCATATCCAAATAAACGGCGCCAAAATTCCAAAAAAAGGGGTTTTCATCCAAAAATCTCAGATTTTCAACTAAAAATAGGGGTTTTCTCTTACCCCAAAACCCTAACCCTAACCCTAACCCTAACCCTACCCTAACCCTCACTCTAACCCAAACCCCAACCATAACCCTAACCCTAACCCTAAACCTAATCCTAACCCTAACCCTAACCCTAACCCTAACGCTAACCCTAACCCTAACCCTAACCCTAACCCTACCCTAACCCTAACCCTAAATCTAACCCTAACACTAAACCTAACCCTAACCCTAACCCAAAACCCTAACCCTAACCCTAACCCTAACCCTAACCCTAACCCTAACCCTAACCCTAACCCTAACCCTTACCCTAACCCTAAGCCTAACCCTAACCCAAAACCTACCCTAACCCTAACCCTAACACTAACTCTAACCCTAACCCTAACCCTAACCCTACCCTAACCCTAACCCTAACCCTAACCCTAACCCTAACCCTTACCCTAACCCTAAGCCTAACCCTAACCCAAAACCTACCCTAACCCTAACCCTAACACTAACTCTAACCCTAACCCTAACCCTAACCCTAACCCTACACTAACCCTAACCCTAACCCTAACCCTAACCCTAACCCTAACCCTAACCCTACCCTAACCCTAACCCTAACCCTAACCCAAACCCTAACCCTAACCCTAACCCTACCCTAACCCCAATCCAAACCCTAACCCTAACCCTAACCCTAACCCTACCCTAACCCTAATCCAAAACCTAACCCTTTCCTAACACTAACCCCAACCCTAACCATAACCCTAACCCTAACCCTAACCCCAACACTAACCCTAACCCTAACCCTAACCCTAACCCCTTACCCTAACCCTAACCCTAACAATAACCCTAACCCTAAGCCTGTGCCTAACCCTAACCCTAACCCTAACCCTAACCCCTAACCCTAATGCTTACCCTAATCCTAAACCTAACCCTAACCCTAAACCTAACCCTAACCCTAACCCTAACCCTAACCCTACCCTACCCCTAACCCTAACCCTAACCCTAACCCTAACCCTAACCCTTACCCTAACCCTAACCCTAACCCTACCCTAACCCTAACCCTAACCCTAACCCTAACCCTTTCCTAACACTAACCCTAACCCTAACCATAACCCTAACCCTAACCCTAACCCCAACACTAACCCTAACCCTAACCCTAACCCTACCCTAACCCTAACCCTAACCCTAACCCTACCCTAACCCTAACCCTAACCCTAACCCTTACCCTAACCCTAACCCTAACCCTAACCCTAACCCTAACCCTACCCTAACCCTAACCCTTACCCTAACCCTAACCCTAACCCTAACCCTAACCCTAACCCTAAACCTACCCTAACCCTAACCCTAACCCAAAACCTAACCCTAACCCTAACCCTAACCCTAACCCTATCGCTTATTTTCATAGAAATCCCTGCTTTGAACCTGAAATATCGCTTATTTTCATAGAAATCCCTGTTTTTCCCCTTAAATATCGCTTATTTTCATAGAAATCCCTGTTTTTCCCCTGAAATATCACTTATTTTCATAGAAATCCCTGTTTTTAACCTGAAATATCACTTATTTTCATAGAAATCCCTGTTTTTCCTGACATATCGCTTATTTTTCTAGAAATCTTTGTTTTTCCCCTTAAATATCGCTTATTTTCCTAGAAATCCCTGTTTTTAACCCTTAAATATCGCTTATTTTCATAGAAATCCCTGTTTTTCCCCTGAAATATCGCTTATTTTCATAGAAATCCCTGTTTTTAAACTGAAATGTCGCTTATTTTCCTAGAAATCCCTGTTTTTCCCCTTAAATATCGCTTATTTTCATAGAAATCCCTGTTTTTCCCCTGAAATATCTCTTATTTTCATAGAAATCCCTGTTTTTCCCCTGAAATATCGCTTATTTTCCTAGA